CAGAGTGCTGGCACTCTTCTTCCCACATCCACCCCACCTTCAGAGTGCTGGCACTCTTCTTCCCACATCCACCCCACCTTCAGAGTGCAGGCACTCTACTTCCCACATCACCCCCACTTCAGAGTGCTGGCACTCTACTTCCCACATCACCCCCACTTCAGAGTGCTGGCACTCTACTTCCCACATCCACCCCACCTTCAGAGTGCTGGCACTCTTCTTCCCACATCCACCCCTCTTTCAGAGTGCTGGCAAGGCATCATTGTTACCACTGTACTGGTGTTGAATATGAGAGACGGTATGGGACCTGGGTTCCTCTATGGGAAAGGTTGGTAGTTGTGGGAAGATAATTCAACGTTGACAAAGATGGAAGGTACCAGCCAACTCCCTCATGGTACCCAGGCAAGGTAGATGACGGACAGGATAACGCCACCTTGGATTAAGTGGGCAGGAATAGGTCTGTAAGGTGAGGGATAGTTGACAGGGGCAATGAAGAATAGGGAGGTAGGGGTAAGGGCTTCTTGGTTACCACAGTGCGCAGTTTCCAGACAAGGTACGATCGGGCTCTGCAGGCCAGAAATCAGCTAAACCTCTTAATAATACTGTAGCCAAGAGGCTGGCCCAGGAGCTCTGACACAACTAGGTGAGTCGTGATTGTATCTTCTGTACTAGACTTGAGTCAGTATAGTCACTGACTTTGTTGTTCTGTAATCTCAAGTTCGGTTCCCAGGTTGATAATTCAACCTCACCACTGTATATAATACACAGAATGTGTCAACCTCACCACTGTAGATAATACACAAGAATGTGGCAACGTCACCACTGTAGATAATACACAGAATGTGTCAACCTCACCACTGTAGATAATACACAGAATGTGTCAACCTCACCACTGTATATAATACACAAGAATGTGTCAACTTCACCACTGTAGATAATACACAAGAATGTGTCAACCTCACCACTGTAGATAATACACAAGAATGTGTCAACCTCATCACTGTAGATAATACACAAGAATGTGTCAACCTCACCACTGTATATAATACACAAGAATGTGTCAACCTCACCACTGTAGATAATACACAAGAATGTGTCAACCTCACCACTGTAGATAATACACAAGAATGTGTCAACCTCACCACTGTAGATAATACACAAGAATGTGTCAACCTCACCACTGTAGATAATACACAAGAATGTGTCACTGGCTGTGGCTGCCATTCTCAATACCACACGTTATGAAAAAACTTTTTTCTTGTTAGCCCGGTCTGCTGGTGACTCTGGCTGATTCAGCAGCTGTGCTGGTGACTCTGGCTGATTCAGCAGCTGTGCTGGTGACTCTGGCTGATTCAGCAGCTGTTAGCTGCACCTCGCCCCCCAGGCTTCTCGTCTGGGCTTGTAAAATCGTATTTAAACTTACCTCAGCGTCTTAACCGCGTCTCTGAAGACCCCAGTTCGTAACACAGTGTTACTCATCTCAGCTTTCCAACGTGAAGGAAGGGGGTCATGGAGTCAGAGGAGGGAGTCAGGTACTCAAGAGGTAAGTTAGGTACTCAGAGAGGTGAATCAGGTACTGAGAGTGGTTAGTCAGCTACTCGGATGGGGGAGTCAGGTACTCACAGAGGTGAATCAGGTACTCAGAGGGGGGAGTCAGCTACACAGGGGTAATCAGGTACTGAAAGAGAAGTTAGGTACTGATAGACCTAATACCTTCCTTCCCTGGGTTTCTGCCTCCACACGACGCCTATTGTCCCGCTGATACACTTAACGAGTCCCGGCTCACCTGCACCACGCCACCTGTACTCACCTACTTGTGTTTTCAGGGATTGATTCATAGCTCCTGGCCCTGCCACTATACTATCAACCCCCATCATACCCACCCAAGCTGTGTATAGGGTTTTCCCTGCGCCATCTTTTGGTCTGTCTGGTGATCATCTGACTAAGACCCGCGTCAGGAAACACTTGTCCTGTTTCCTGACAAACTTTACCTAACCTAACCATCCTCACACTGAGTCAGTTTAGCCCAGTTTAGTCTTCTACGCTAACATCTTAATGTTTCACTACCTAAGTTGTGTCGTACTTGTAGAAATAATAATAATAATAATAATAATAATAATAATAATAATAATAATAATAATTATTATTATTATTATTATTATTTTAATCTCGTTATTCCACCAGTCATTCCTTCTTCTACACGCACCCACCCTTTTATACATACAAACTTGTGCACATCTTTTCATCACTTTCTAAGTCTAGCCAATACCTCCTCGACCTCCTTTATCGCAGGATTTGGTTTATATCCGCTTGGAGATTCACAGTGTCCTCAATAGATGTCTCTCTCATGCAGATTCTGGCATCGTCAGCAAAGGATAATACCAGGTTATGATTTATGTCTCTGTCTGTGTCAGATATGAGGATGAGGAAGGGATGGGGCCGAGTACCAACAGTCTGTGTGATCAGGCAGGTGGGGATGGTGATCTCAAGAGTCACTAAATTTTAGGGATTGATATTCATCATTCATCACTGTATAGTGAGTCACCATTACGGCCATCACTACCACTGTTGATCTATAGTTCCTTCACCATCATTACCACTGATCTGTTTCCCACCAGCCACCACCACCACCACCACCACCATCACCATCACCACCACCACCACCACCACCACCACCACACCATAACCACCACCACCATCACCACCACCACCACCACCACCACCACCACCACCACCACCACCACCACCACCACCACCACCACCACTGACCAGTGTCTCCCTCACAGGCGTCTGGAACAAAACCACATAACCGAAGTACCCAGCAGATCCTTCGCACCGTTCAGGAAGCTACGAAGAATGTAAGTACATTATATATCATATATCATATATATATATATATATATATATATATATATATATATATATATATAATATATATATATATATATATATATATATATATATATATATATTATAACTTTACGTTCATTAAGGACACTGAATCATATACGTAATTATATAATGGAGGAGAGAATGGTGTGGTTGGAACAACTCCCAACTGAACCACACTTTGTAGGGGGGAATTTTTAGATACGTTTTCCGTCCAGCTTTGATCATTACCAGGTCAGACATGTGAGAAAATCGGGAGAAAACAGATGAAAAGCAGAAAGCAAGTCAGGTGGAGATGAAGTGAGAAGAAGACAGGTCAGGTGAAGACAGTTCTTGAAAGCAAGGCAGGAAGAAAGTGAAAAGTCAGGTCTTATAACGGTACTTTAGAGAACAGATCAGGAGGAGGAGGAGGAGGTCAGGAAGGGGGGTGATAAGGCGAAGGTCAGGTCAGGTCATCTGTGTCCTCAAGATTGGAACAATTGATATGTTGGGAAGACAGACTATAAGTCTGTAGTAACAGTCATGTTAGGGAAGTTGTAATATAGCTGAATCAGGAAGATAGTGTCTGTGGTATGGTGTCTGTTAAGGCTGGTAGAGTATGGTGTCTGTGAAGGCTGGTAGAGCATAGTGTCTGTGAAGGCTGGTAGAATAGTGTGTCCGTGAAGGCTGGTAGAATATGGTGTCTGAAGGCTGGTAGAGTATGGTGTCTGTGAAGGCTGGTAGAGTATGGTGTCTGTGAAGGCTGGTAGAGTATGGTGTCTGTGAAGGCTGGTAGAATAGTGTGTCCGTGAAGGCTGGTAGAATATGGTGTCTGAAGGCTGGTAGAGTATGGTGTCTGTGAAGGCTGGTAGATTATGGTGTCTGTGAAGGGTGGTAGAGTATGGTGTATGTGAAGGGTGGTAGAATATGGTGTCTGTGAAGGCTGGTAGAATATGGTGTCTGTGAAGGCTGGTAGAGTATGGTGTCTGTGAAGGCTGGTAGAACATGGTGTCTGAAGGCTGGTAGAATATGGTGTCTGTGAAGGCTGGTAGAGTATGGTATCTGTGAAGGCTGGTAGAGTATGGTGTCTGAAGGCTGGTAGAATATGGTGTCCGTGAAGGCTGGTAGAATATGGTGTCTGTGAAGGCTGGTAGAGTATGGTGTCTGTGAAGGCTGGTAGAATATGGTGTCTGAAGGCTGGTGGAATATGGTGTCTGTGAAGGCTGGTAGAGTATGGTGTCTGTGAAGGCTGGTAGAATATGGTGTCTGTGAAGGCTGGTAGAATATGATGTCTGTGAAGGCTGGTAGAATATGATGTCTGTGAAGGCTGGTAGAATATGATGTCTGTGAAGGCTGGTAGAATATGGTGTCTGTGAAGGCTGGTAGAATATGATGTCTGTGAAGGCTGGTAGAATATGGTGTCTGTGAAGGCTGGTAGAATATGATGTCTGTGAAGGCTGGTAGAATATGGTGTCTGTGAAGGCTGGTAGAATATGATGTCTGTGAAGGCTGGTAGAATATGATGTCTGTGAAGGCTGGTAGAATATGGTGTCTGTGAAGGCTGGTAGAATATGGTGTCTGTGAAGGCTGGTAGAATATGGTGTCTGTGAAGGCTGGTAGAGTATGATGTCTGTGAAGGCTGGTAGAATATGGTGTCAGAGGTGTCTGTGACAGCCAGAGCAGAAGGAGGATCTGGTATGACATCCGTGTTGTCTGACATGACACGACTGAGAGCTGACAGAAGTGCCCTTCTCATGGTCCTAACTATTTCAACTATCTAACAAGCGAGAGGACATGTTAACAAGGGCAAGTTAACAAGGACAAGTTAACAAGGACAAGTGGACAAGAACAGTTTAGCAGTGACAAGGACAAGCTAGGGATCAGGGATCATGAATGGAATTAAAAACCATTGGACACGTCAGTGACATTCCAGTGCACGTTTCCCCGCAGCTGCGTGTCCTGGTCTCCTAGGTAATGCTTGCATTTCCTATCTCCGTTTCTGCCAAATCATAGTACATGTCCTCGAATTATACTTTCTTGCGTGTCCCTTGTGATGTCAGCACTTGTCATCAGTGGGCACCCCATTTCCTGCTTCTCCTGACCTTCCCAGTACATTGGTGGCACTGGCTGACACCTTACTGACAGACTGGTAAAAACTGGTAGCTGACATCTTGCTGACAGACTGATGAAATACACATATATTGAATCACATGGAGATTTTCTGAAATAAGCTGTCAGCGTTCAAATCTGTACGAATATTACTGAAAGTAGCACTGCATGACCATCATGACTCTAGTGCTCGTTCCTGATAATAATAATAATAATAATAATTATAATAATAATTACCGTATACTTCTTTACATGATAAGGAAAGGAGGAGGAAGAGGAGGAGGCAGCAGCGATGGCACTGTGAGGTGGTAGGAAGGAGGGGTGGCACCAGTGCCTGACAAACACCTGGGTTATGCATGGTAGTCAGTCAGGTCAACATCAGCTCGCAATCTGACTGTCAACTTTCATTTGCAAAACATTTACAGCACCAGAGCAGAGCTCGTTTCTTGTGTGCTGTCAGTTGTATTGTTATGGTGTTGAAGGTGTGAGCACAGTGTTGGTGTTAAGGGTGTGAGCACAATGTTGGTGTTGAGGCTGTTAGTACACTGTTGGTGTTGAGACTGTTAGTACACTGCTAGTGTTGAGGGTGTTAGTACACTGCTAGTGTTGAGGGTGTTAGTACACTGCTGGTGTTGAGGGTGTTAGTACACTGCTAGTGTTGAGGGTGTTAGTACACTGCTAGTGTTGAGGGTGTTAGTACACTGCAGGTGTTAAGGGTGTTAGTACACTGGTGTTGAGGGTGTTAGTACACTGTTGATGTTGAAGTGTTAGTACACTGCTGGTGTTGAGGGTGTTAGTACACTGCTAGTGTTGAGGGTGTTAGTACACTGCAGGTGTTAAGGGTGTTAGTACACTGGTGTTGAGGGTGTTAGTACACTGCTGGTGTTGAGGGTGTTAGTACACTGCTGGTGTTGAGGGTGTTAGTACACTGCTGGTGTTAAGGGTGTTAGTACACTGGTGTTGAGGGTGTTAGTACACTGCAGGTGTTAAGGGTGTTAGTACACTGGTGTTGAGGGTGTTAGTACACTGTTGATGTTGAAGTGTTAGTACACTGCTGGTGTTGAGGGTGTTAGTACACTGCTAGTGTTGAGGGTGTTAGTACACTGCAGGTGTTAAGGGTGTTAGTACACTGGTGTTGAGGGTGTTAGTACACTGCTGGTGTTGAGGGTGTTAGTACACTGCTGGTGTTGAGGGTGTTAGTACACTGCTGGTGTTAAGGGTGTTAGTACACTGGTGTTGAGGGTGTTAGTACACTGCTGGTGTTGAGGGTGTTAGTACACTGCTGGTGTTGAGGGTGTTAGTACACTGCTGGTGTTGAGGGTGTTAGTACACTGCTGGTGTTGAGGGTGTTTAAATACATGCTGGTGTTGAGGGTGTTAGCAGACTACTGGTCACTTATAAGTGCGACCATACCATAACTTTGCCGACAGTGAAACTATCAAAATTAAACGATATATAGTGATAGTGGTGGAACAGACGTTGTGTGGGCGTGGACGCTCTGGCCTGATGGATGACGGGAGGGCATCACGCAAGGCGGGGTCTGCCATCCTTGTATCTTCACTACCGTCTTAGTAAGTTTGTTTAGGTACAGGTATACACAAGTACAGTTATTATACATAGTGTAAAATGCAAAAACAACCACGGAGGGAGTTGAATGATAGCTGTAGGCCTCTCGTGTTGCAATCAAACACATAAATCACAGGAAGCGCCTTTGCAACAAGGGCGCTTCATGTGATCGTATTTGCTCGGACCTCCTCCTCTTCTGCAACATTGAAGCTCCTGATAATGTTTGTTTGAAACCCAAAAAGACCTAGAGGTATCATTCACTCCCCCTTTGTTTGCTTTTGTATTCTCGTTCCATTTTTGCATTACAATGAAATCCACCCAGGAAAACCCCAAGACATCAAAGTGACTATTCCAATTGAGTTTTTTTAAAGTCCCCAACCCTCCGTTCTTTGGAAATTTGATGTGAGGAATGTTGCTACTTGTTTTTAAAGTGTTGAGAGTATCACAAATATAAAGTTGAGCAACACATTATTTTGGGTGTGTTTCCTGGTTTTGCTGATTTTGCCGCCCTTTCCGGTCGTGTTCAGTCAACGCGGTTCCCCGACGTTCATACTTAAATAAAAACCATTTTGTACGGAAATTTTACGACGTTATCGGCCCCTCCTGGACCATGTCAATTTCCCAAACGGGGGAGAAAAGTAGAAAGGCCCTTTAGAAATAGCTTTTGGAGTTTACGGGAAGCGTGTAGAAAATGCGTTGAAGACCTTGTGTTAAAAGAACTTTGTAACTGAGGGTATGTTGGTTGGTACTTGGAGGGTTTGTCCAGGTGTGGAAAACCACCTTCAGCGGGTGGTGAAAGGGTGGGGGTCTGACCTTGTAAAGGTAAGTGTCAGGGGGTGTGTGAAGAGGAGGGAAAAGAAGCTGACGCAGGAGGAGCACGTGAAAAACTCTATAATCCCAAGTAAAACACCCTGGGGGGAAACGTATATTAGCCCCCTTAAAAGTAAGATTACAAAGATCTTTAAACACTGGGGACACAACTTTTGGGGAAGAGACACACCAGATCCCTGGCACAGAAAAACACTCAGTTTAGTATTTCATCCCTGTGGGCCCTGCTGGACATGCGGCCGGGTCAGCCCCACCCCCACTGTGATCTTCCCAAATTTATATTTTTAAATTGCGTGATAATCCAGTTTGTTCCACCTTATAAACCAATTTTGAAGTTCTAAAGGGGGGGAGACCCCAAAATGTACCCCCCGGGTAGTAGTTGTTTCAGCAGGATAATAGTAAATACCACAACTAGTAGACCATTCCACAAACCACAAATGAATTAAATATAATGTTTGCATACATAGCATCAGAATTTGGCAAGGAAGATGAATTAAAAAAGCTATAACTAACCTCGTAAGATATAATAAAAGTAAAAAAAGAAAAGGGTATGTAATTCATAATGTTACGAAGAGCGATTTCGTGACAAAATCCAGTTTGAAGCAAGTAAAAAAAATTTTTAAAAATACCGCAGGGCACATTTTGGAACCCCTATGTTGTCCCCTGTTCACAGGTGCTCTAGAACAGTACCTCAGGACACGTTAAAACTTTAAAAATGGTATAAAATACCGACAGGTTGTTATGAAAAGACACATATGCAACATTTAGGAAATTTTTTAATTAAAAAAAGTTTCCCTAAAAAGGGGGGGCTTTTTCGTCAAGTACAAAAAAAGAAAATTTGGGATAGAAGCGGAAGATCCCTTGAAGACGAGGGTAATAAATCCATCACCCTTAAATTTTGGGGGTGGCCCAGCCCCCTCATTCTGGAGAAGAGCATAGCCCAAAGTAGGGAAACAATAGGGAGATAAAAGGGGACAGAATGGAGCTTTTTATGGGCCCCAAGGGTGAGACGTGGGCCCACTAGGAGAGGTAAAAACTCAGATGTTAAAGGTCGGGGTCCCCCCTAAAAATCCAGCCGCTCTAAATAGTGGAAGTTTTTAAAGTATCTTCTGCTTCTATCAACTTTTCTGTACTTTAAAGAAAAGCCTACTTGTTAGGCGAAACGTTTCATAAAAAAGATACCAAACTTTTTGATATTTTCTTACATAAAAACCCTTTGTCGGTATTTTTTTTAACCTTTTTTTAATTTTAAATTCTGTCAGACACTGCAACAAAAGGGGTTTATTTTGGGTACAAACCTGCAATCAACTTCGAAAACTTCCCCAGTGAGAGCGGCTTGGTTTTTGAGGGGGAAACCGACCTTTCAACATCTGGTTTTACCTTTCCAAGGGGCCCTTTACTCTCCCTCTTGGCGCTAAAAAAAAGCTCCTTTCTGTCATTTCATCTCCATATTTTTTTCTTTATAGGGAAAACAATGCTCTTCTCCAGCCCTGGGGGACTGACCACCTCAAAACTTTAAGGGTGAGGGCTGTTAAAATCGTTTTAAAGGGTACCCCTTCTGTTTTCTACAACTTTTTTTTTTTTTTTGATTTAAAGAACCCCTACTGTGTGGGCCCGATACGTTTCATAAAAAAAGTTACCTAACGGGTTCATAGTGTCTTAAATAAAAACCTCAGGACCCCTTTCTTGGCCCCCTTGTTGTCCATTTTCCCACATTCTGCTAACACAGAAACCGCAGGGCACTTTCCCTTGGGAAACCCCCTTTATTTTGGGTCAATGTTCACGGTGTGCTGGGAACACAGTCCCGGGCAGGACACTTTCTTAAAAACCCCTATGTTTTTCAATTTTCACAGTGGCTCCCAAAAACACAGTACACAGGGAACATTTTGGGAAAAAAAAACCCCTATGTTTTTCAAGGTTCCCCATGCTGCTAACACAGTCCGGGGGGAACTTTTCTTAAACCCCTGGTTTTGGTCAATGTTAAAGGGTTTTGTGCTAGCCACATTTCCGCGGGAAACATTCAACCCCTAGTTTTGGGTTCCATGTTCACAGTGTGCAAGCCCACAGCCCCGCGGGGGACATTCTTGGAACCCCTAGTGTTGTCAATGTTCACGGTGCTGCTAGACACAGTACAGCAGGGCACATTCTTGGAACCCCTAGTGTTGTCCATGTTCACAGTGCTGCTAGAAACAGTCCTGGCACTCGTAACACTAGTGTTCTTCATGTTCATAGTGCTGCTACACACAGTCTTGGCACTGGTAACACTAGTCCTGGCAATGGTAACACTAGTCCTGGCACTGGTAACACTAGTCCTGGCACTGGTAACACTAGTCCTGGCACTGGTAACACTAGTCCTGGCACTGGTAACACTAGTCCTGGCACTGGGAACACTAGTCCTGGCACTGGTAACACTAGTCCTGGCACTGGTAACACTAGTCCTGGCACTGGTAACACTAGTCCTGGCACTGTTAACACTAGTCCTGGCACTGGTAACACTAGTCCTGGCACTGGTAGCACTAGTCCTGGCACTGGGAACACTAGTCCTGGCACTGGTAACACTAGTCCTGGCACTGGTAGCACTAGTCCTGGCACTGGTAACACTAGTCCTGGCACTGGTAACACTAGTCCTGGCACTGGTAGCACTAGTCCTGGCACTGGTAACACTAGTCCTGGCACTGG